TGCCGTGTGCATGTGCGTATGTGTGCGTGGCCACGTGTGTGTGCCGTGTGCATACGCATGTTTGTGTATCTGTGTGCGGGGTAGCGAGGCGAGGAGGGCTGGTATGTATCAGTGTTTTATTGCAGTCTCATGGCTACATACAGTACATCGCGCGCGTGGTCATCATGTTTATCTTCGGGGTTGGGGTGGGGAGGGAACGGAAAAAGAACTGAAATTATCCATATAAAACCGCTCTGTGAGCGGTTCTGAAAAACCTTTACTGGTACTGCCCCGTCGTAAAAGTAAGAAATTAGAACTGGCCCATTGTCCCCCCAAATGCGAACTGATCCACCTAAATCGCGAATGACGGGACCCGAACGCACCAGTAGCACGAGGTTCCTACCTGTGGATGCAGATGGGGACGTTGGTCCGGACCAAAGGCCATGTACTGTACTAGCGGTAGGTGGTGTTACCCTATGATAATTGCTGTCCTGTGCCCTCCCGACCTCGTGCTACTGGTGCGTTCGGGTCCCGTCATTCGCGATTTAGGTGGATCAGTTCGCATTTGGGGGGACAATGGGCCAGTTCTAATTTCTTACTTTTACGACGGGGCAGTACCAGTAAAGGTTTTTCAGAACCGCTCACAGAGCGGTTTTATATGGATAATATATACTCAATCTGCGGACAGAACTGTTTCGTCCTTTGTGGACTCGTCAGCGCAGCACAGAGGAAATGAGGCCGAACCTGATAGCAATGGAAATAAAAATTTCCAATCAGGCCCGAACGTACCTTGCCAGAGTGCTCAAACTGACAAGTCAGTGAGCTCTGCATAACGCACACAGCAAAGGCACTACCCCACGCAAGAGTGCTCAATTGCTACAAGAGCAGGAGCGAAATACTCAATCTGCGTATATATATATATGAGCCCTGTGATGAGAAAAGGGACCAAATGGCTGTCAGCTGACAGTTGAGTACAACGCGTTTGAAAGTGGGCACTTGAAAAATCGCTGATTTTCGACTGCATTCGCTTGGATTTGGAATAACTTTAGAAGGGTTTTGTGTGATTCAATGCGGTAAAAACGAGTGCAGAGCTGCTTTGGTGGCCTTTCTGTACGTATTTCGATCGTCACAATCGGCCCACGCATGCCAGAGAACGGTGTACGTGACATGCAGGCTACGCGTCCGCGAGCTGCCGTTGCAAAGAGAAAATCTTTGAACATCACTTCAGATGTTTCTTTCTCGTTCTGCTTAGAAATTTGTTTGCAAACATGTCGATCCCAACATTTACCGTTGATGCGAGTCTCAGGGAAGCTTTGACAGAGCTAGATAGAGAGTTTTTGGGCATCGAAGTGGAGATTGCCGAGTCAAGTGATGATTCTGACAGGGAGTTGTCGTTGGAGTTGTCAGAACTATCCTCTTCCTCTGATGAAGACGGCGATGATCGGGAAGACCACTTTTTGGACGAGTCACTCGATGTGGATGCAGTTGCAGCATCATACCTCGGCGAAGAGTCAGCGCAGGCTGCAGAACCAGCGCAGGCTGCAGAACCAGCGCTTGCTGAGGCGGCAGCTGCGGAAGAAATAACTGTGAACTGCGGGTGCAGCAAAAAGTGCTTGGACAAGTTTGATGCAGAAGATGTTCGACTGCTGCAGCTCAACATCGCAGAAATGGAGAAAGGGGAGAAGGAGCTGGTGATTTTGGGCCTTCTTGAGTCATCCAAGTACTCTACTGACACCACGACTCATGGGAAGAAGAGAAAGAAGCAATGGCATCGGTATACTTACCAAGGCGAAGAGGTTTGCGCCGGTGGATTTCGATTGCTGTACAACATCGGATCAAAGCAACTAAAAAATCTGAAAAAACATTTGGAGGAGAATGGGCTGGTGCCACGGACCCATGGCAATGTCGGCAGGAAGCCTAAACATGCTTTGTCGTACGATACTGTGTCTGCCGTTGTGCAATTTCTAAAAACTTACACTGAGCGCTTCGGCATACCACAGCCAGCACCGACTCGAGGGCGAGCTGGAGCACCGCCAACTTATCTGCCAGCGTCATCAACGGTTAAATCCATCCACAAGTGCTATGTGACCTCATTAGAGGAATCAGGCATCAGGGCTGTGGGCTACCACACATTTCGGTCCGTTTGGCTTGACTGCTTGCCAAACATTCAGATTATGACGCCGCGCACTGACGTATGCTCGCGCTGTGAGAATTTCCGCCGACGGATTCAGGAAGCACGGACGGAACCCGAGAAGAGTGCAGCATGCGATGAATTCAAACAACACCTTGACGCAACGCAAGCAGAGCGTGACTACTACCGTCAAGCGACACTACAGGCCCGGGCAGAGCTTGATGCATGTACGACTATCCAGCAGCAGCTGAGCCAGCCATGTTCACGCGATCTGCACCACCCGCACTACACGTTCGACTTTGCCCAGAACGTGGCACTGCCGCAGTCGGCACGTCAGGAGGGCCCCCTGTACTTTAAGGCACCTCGTAAGGTGCAAATATTCGGTGTGAACAATGAAGCTGTGCCTCAGCAGGTCAACTACCTGATCGACGAGTCAGACACCATCGGGCAAGACGGCAAGTCGAGTCATGGTCCGAACGCGGTGGCCTCCATGCTGCACCATTTTTTTTCATTCTATGGACTACATGAGAAAGGCTGCCTCCTGCACTGTGATAATTGCGCAGGCCAGAACAAGAATCGGACTATCGTAGCGTATTTCTGCTGGAGGGTGATTATGGGACTGCATGACCGTATTGAACTGTCCTTCATGTTGACTGGCCATACCCGGTGCCTTGTCGATGGCTGCTTTGGCCTGCTGAAGCAAAAGTTCCGGCGTAGCGACTGCTACACCATGGGGCAGCTGGTGGCAGTGGTCAATGAAAGCGCATCTTGCAACAAGGCCCAGCTGATTCCTGGATCTGGTTTGGAATGGAGAGCCTGGGATACATTTCTGGCTCAACATTTCAAGCCAGTGAAAGGAATCCGCAAGGTTCAGCACATGGTATTCGACGCAGCTAAGCCCGGTATTGTCAGTGTCAAGGCATCCCTGGAAGACACCTACAGCGATGTGGAGGTGCTCACCACGTCTAAAGACGCCCTTGTTGCCGCAGGGATGCCCCCAGTCCTTCAAGCACCAGGACTATCCGAACAACGACAGCAATACCTCTATAATCAGATCCGCCCGCATGTGCCTGACCAATTCCAGGATGAGCTCTGCCCGAAGCCAGCTGTGCATGTGTCTGCTAGTGCCGCTACTAGTGCTTCTCCGGTGGAGGAGTAATGTAACAGACTCTGCTACCTCACGGCTACTTCAAAACTTTTTTAATGCCAAATTGCTGCTGGTTGTATATTTTCTTGCTGTATTTTTAATGTCTCGGGACGTGGACTTGCTCCATCTTTGTGTGTTTGATGGTGGTGGCATGCCAGTATTACCTTGTACAGTTTTTCCTCTTGGCCCAGTCAAATGTCAGTGTCAATTGCCAGTAACTACAGGCTGTGTGCAGGCTCAAACATTCCCATACATTTCGTGTCAATAAGTCCTCAAAGTTTTGTATGATCCTGTTCTTCGTATGGCTGCAAAATATCTGAAAAGACACTTAGAAGATTGACCGTAGCTTTGTCAAAAATTGAGATAATTCAGCTCTGTTTTTTGCATCGTTTTCTGCATGAAACCAGCTTTCTTCTGATGTTTAGAGCTCGGTTTGAGTAAAAAAAGCCATTTGGTCCCTTTTCTCATCACAGGGCTCATATATGTATACAGCCACCCTCAGTGTGGACCCGTCGGCCCATATAACCACCCTCAGTGTGGACCCGTCGGCCCATATTACCACCCTTGGTATAGACACCTACATGTACATATCAACCATTGGCGTCGTCAACTCCGTTCATACCCGAGTTCAAGTGCACCTGCTGTTTGCATACACCAGTGCCAAGTTCCGGGCTCTAGCTGGCCCAGTAGAAATTGAACAGGGGCAGTTACAGTCCATTCATTGGAAACTGGCACCCTAACTTTTTGGTGTGTCTCTCACATAGTTGTAGATATCGTGAAAACAACAGTACATGCTGCATTGTGTGACCCGTGCAATTACTCCTTGCCACATTTGAGGCCAGAAAAGTCCATGAACAGGGAAATAGAAATTCAGCCAGGTTTTACAAAATTAGGACAGGTATGCCATGGCAAAATGTATGGAGAAGCAGATCCAAAACCCAGATTTTTGAGATTTAAAGTGGGTTTTGATCCTCAATTCGGCCCAAATACGACTTTCAAAAGCCAGCGGGCCAGTTTCCGATGAATGGACTGTAGTTCGTGCGCAGTTCTGTGAATCTGCATTGTTCCACACATGCCTGTATATGGAGTACGCAATGCTAATGTAGGTCTATGATCATTTTTCTTACTCAAGTGTAGCAATGTAGGTCTGTGGTCTTTTTTTAATTGTTTTTCAAATGTAGCAATGTGCCAAAACAGAGACCTGCTCTTTAGTGGGCATACATGCACACACTGTATCCTGCTGGATGGGGGTGGGGGGTGCAGGTGTTGGCATGTCAAGTCATGCATGGTACAGTGGCGCAGTGGATTTTGAATGGAGGCGGCCAAACCTCCGGTCTTTATAGAGTGTAGAAAGGAAGGGAAGATAGGGATACACGAGTTAACGAGTTAAGAGTACCGGTAACTGTACACCACTGTAACTAGCTAGATATGATACAATCAGAAAGTGCAACAACTAGGCACGAAATAAGCGCGCCCCTGTTCTGTAAAGATCATCGGCATAACGAACTAACTACTGTCGGTGTACATTTATCAAGACTGATTTTCGCTGTACCATGGGGTGTTTGCTAACCCATGATAGGCTAGTTCACTGAGCTTGCGCAATCAGATATAGTACAACGGAAATGCATGCGGCATGTAGAAAACACCTCTAAACTGAGACTCCTAGGTAAGTAAGTGGCCCGTACCGCACTGCCGGGAGAAATGGATACACACACATAGAGGTGATGTATATGGCTAACTCACCACCGGTAGCGCTGTTCTGCACAGTAGGACAGCCGCCTCATCAGCTGCCAAGAACGTGCCCAGGAAACCAGCCGTGACGCCCGTGTTGATGAGTGATGCAGTCATCACCTGGCATGCCGACTGAATTGTGGGCAGGAATTTCTACATATGCACACGAAGCACAGAAGGCATATAGTTTCGACTAGGCCTTTCGTACCATTACTTTTCAAGTCGAATACAATGGTGATTATCATGGCAGCAAGCAAGTCCTTATAACTGGCACTATTTGATACCATTGTCCATGAGAAGGCGTTGGCGCGGTTTTCAGACTCTGGAGCTGCCACTGAGGTTGTTGCCACTCTGATCTCGGACACGACGGTGAGAGTGAAACTCAGTTCTCATTTAGGCAAAGCATTTGCTACAAATATCGGAGTAGTACAGGGGGATCCGCTCTCTCTCATCATGTACAATGTGTATGCTGAGGGAGCCATGCGCCACCTTGATCCTATGCTATCGCACTTATCTTTACCAGCACCAACCACCCAATATGCAGACGACACAACAATCCATGACACCGAGAGGCGAGAAGTCGAGGAGATGGTGGAGAAATCAAGTGAAAAATTCAAAGAAGACAAACACCTCGTGAACACCAGATAGCAGCGTGAGTCAGTGTCGCTCCTGAACGGTAAGACACTGGAAGCGGAGCGTCTCTGTAAGTTTGTATCCCTGGTGATGTTTGTGCCTGGAGAGCACTATATATAAGTGGTGCTCTTCAGGCACAATCTTCCTCAGCCTACTCAAGCTCAACTGATGAGGGGTGAATTCCCCGAAACACTGTGTATTGTGCAGGGAGTGGTGCTTTCTTGCAGGTTTGCCGAGTCGAAGGTTCGATGGACTTCTCGTGTGCTCTGGATTGCAGTCGTGAGTCAGTCAAGTGTCAAGTAAAGTCGGCGGAATAGCGCGAGCTCCGGTGTGGGGAGCAAACCTTTCTTACAAAATCATCGCCGAAGTCGCAACCACTACTTCGTACTGTTGTGCCCAGCGCGGGCTTGCGACTAGTTGGTTTGGAGGTGACAGCGTTGCGAATGACCGAGGGTCCTCAACGTCTGTCTTACCGTTCAGGAGCGACACTGACTCACGCTGCTATCTGGTGTTCACGAGGTGTTTGTCGCGCTGGAAGCGGAGCGTCTCTGTAAGTTTGTATCCCTGGTGATGTTTGTGCCTGGAGAGCACTATATATAAGTGGTGCTCTTCAGGCACAATCTTCCTCAGCCTACTCAAGCTCAACTGATGAGGGGTGAATTCCCCGAAACACTGTGTATTGTGCAGGGAGTGGTGCTTTCTTGCAGGTTTGCCGAGTCGAAGGTTCGATGGACTTCTCGTGTGCTCTGGATTGCAGTCGTGAGTCAGTCAAGTGTCAAGTAAAGTCGGCGGAATAGCGCGAGCTCCGGTGTGGGGAGCAAACCTTTCTTACAAAATCATCGCCGAAGTCGCAACCACTACTTCGTATTATTATTATTATTATTATTATTTCCCCTTTATTCACTTCTTTCGAAGGCGATAAGCCAGACCCACCGGGAAATATTTCCATGGGTGGGACAGCAAAAAGAAAGTGAAAAAACAAAAACAAAAATAAATAAATAAATAAAACCTAAAAACCAAAGGGACAAGAACTAGTTGAAGGAAGAGGAAGATTTTATTATTATTATTATTATTATTATTATTATTATTATTATTATTATGGTGGTTTAGCGTGTGCGCTAAGCCCTGTTAACGAACGTGGAACACCTACCACTCATACTTAGTCTGATGATCATGCATCTGATTATGATGTCATTGCTATACATGCGCATGCGCAGCGCGCGCCACTCTCCCACGCGTGCTTTCCAAATCTTGCTTTAGAGAGAGAGCAAGAGAAAGGAGAGACTCCTTTGTCACATTTGCTTTCCGACGACTTGACTGTTCACTGGTTTGTCCGTCAGTTGTCAATTTTCTACATTTTCCTGCCTCAACGGACATGCCAAGAACACGGAGCACCTCACGGGGTGCAAGCGCTGCTGACACTGACGCCGACGGTCCCCCAGCTCCCTACCCGTATCCGCAGCGGGCTGTGAATTCTGCGAATTCTCAAGACCATCGGAGAGCGAGGTCCCGCGTGATCCATGCTCATGGGCACATTTCAGCCAACGCGGACCAGGTGACTTCTCCTGCGCCGTCACAACCAGCTCCTTTCACCCTGAGCGACCTGACTGGTGTTATCCAGCCCCTCCTGGAGCGCTTGGAATCCAACGTCGTCGCTCCTACCACCTCGCCCATTGCCGCACCAGCACCAGCACCAGCACCAGCACCAGCTCCTCTGCCGCTGGGGCAGCCTTCCCCGATGCACTTGTGACTTGGGTTGCGCGGCCGGCTCTCCAGGCCTCCCGGTCATCCCTCCACGGCTACGGGCACGTATCACACGAGGTGAGTTTGTCGAATTTGGGGACTTGTTGCCTGAAGCCATGTCCGGCAGTAGTGATGTCCTGCAGTTGTCGTTGGTGAACGGCAGGTCCGTTGAGCTGGTGCAGAGCTCGTCCACTCCCCAGCCCTCCAAGCGCCGAGTCCATGACTTGGCGACGTGGTTAGAGGCCTTCACCTTGTTCACCAGAGTCCTGGTCGATGCGTCGCCGGACCAAGCCCCAGATTTGCTGGCGTACCACGCCACCATCATCGAGGCCAACAACAATTATCTGACCGACGCGTGGCTGACCTATGACCGTCGTTTCCGTGCTGGTCTTGCTGCTATGCCGCACCTGTATTCCTGGCATCAACTGGTCCCTAACCTCTGGCATTCCTGCTTCACGAGCCGCGGGCGCCCTATCTGCTCGCGTTGTTCTCTCGTGCACCCATCTCCAGTCCTGCATTGCCCCTTTCGTGGAGGGCTCCCTCTTGCGCAGCACGCAGGCGGGAGCCAGTCAGCCACCAGCCCAGCTCCTCGTCTCGATGGCCGCCAGATCTGCCGGAATTACAACAACGGCGCCTGCACATACCCGTCCTGCATACGGGCCCATGTCTGTCTGTCATGCCGCGGCAAACACCCAAAGAAGACTTGCACCCGAGCGGCCGCTCAGTCTTCCCAGTGACGTCGTCACTCCAGTCAACGTGCCTCGGCTAACTGCACTGCTAGCTGCTCACCCTGATGCCCTGTTTCGTGTTTATGTATGTGCTGGCATGTTTAACGGTTTCTCGATTGGTCACACCACTCCTCTGGTATCATGCATTCAATCTGTCAATCATCCGTCTAGTCTCTGCAAAAAACAATTTGTCACCCTGTATCTACAGTCTTGTTGCGATGCTGGGGAAACAGCTGGTCCGTTTGCTGAGCCGCCATATCAGTTGTTTCAAACCTCGGGTTTGGGCCTGATCCCAAAATCCAATGGCAAATTTCGCCTCATCCATGACCTATCCTCCCCCACTGGCTGCAGTGTCAATGATGGTATTTCCCGGGAGTCATTCAGCTAGGAGTATGACACTGTCGATTCGGCTATCTCCTATATCATGAAGTTCGGCCGTGGTTGCTACCTGACCAAAGTGGACATTCGAAACGCCTTCCGATTATGCCCTGTTGCCCCCTCTGACTGGCACTTGTTGGGTATCTCTTGGGATGGTCGTTACTATTTTCGGTCAGCTCCGTACATATTTGACAAGTTTGCATCTGCCCTTCACTGGGTTCTGGAAGACACATGCTGCCTTCCCCATCTCATTCATTATCTGGACGACTTCCTGAATGTATCGCCTCCCAGTCCTCCTCTTGCCCAGCACCAGAAGTCACTACTGCTCGACCTGTTTGCATATTTACAGGTCCCAGTTGCACCTGAGAAGGTTGATGGCCCCTCTACCGTTCTCACCTTCCTGGGCTTAGAGCTGGACACAATGACTCTGGAGATCCGCCTTCCACCCTCCAAGCTGACTAAGCTATCTACCACCGTGTCGGCCCTCGTCCAATCCGGCCGGGTTCAGAAACGCGACCTCGCCTCCGTATTGGGCAAACTCTCGTTCGCGTCCAGAGCTGTACCAGCTGGTCGCACATTCCTGAGACGCCTGTACGACCTGGACAGAGCAACTCGATCAACACCATTGCACCAATGGCTACGCATTTCGGCATTGGCAATGGCAGACCTGTTGTGGTGGGCAGAGGCCCTGACCATATGGAATGGGAAGTCATTCTTCCTGGTGGATGAGTGGACGCCAGCCCCCGACATGCAACTACAGACTGATGCCAGCGGCACTCACGGTTATGGTGCCTTCTACAACGCCCGGTGGCTGAGAGGAGAGAGCAGCAGCCGAGCCAGATCAGCCAGTCTTGCCAACTCTCCGTTGACAGACTCCGTGCTACAGCTAGCAGCACTGGCAATAGCACCATCCTCCCGCCGGACGTATTCTACCGCCGAGACCCGCTACTTCCAGTTCTGCCAAGTGCATGCCTGCCACCCATTGCCGGGCAACGACTTTACTTTGTGCTATTTTGCTGCCGAGTTGTTCAGGACTCTTCAGCCTCGATCTGTCCGTGTCTACATGTCGGCAATCCGCAACCTTCATGTGGAACTTGGCTTTGCTTACCCGTCGGGCCCAACAACTCTCCTCGCTAGTGTCCTGCGGGGCATCGACACAGCGTCATCGTCTGCCGATAACCACTCCACTTCTCAGGGAGATCTGCCGGCATGTTGCCGTTCAACGCATGCGGCACCCTCACGACAAGGCCATGCTAAGGGCAGCTTTTTCCTTGGCGTTTCATGGGTTCTTCCGTTGTGGAGAACTGACTGCTGGCCTGAGGCGATGTGATGTGACGATCAGTACTGACCAGCGGTCGTTATCGGTAAACGTGCGCTCATCTAAGACGGACTCCAACAGCACGGGCCACACAGTATTGGTTGGAGCCAGCACGGACGCACTGATCTGCCCAGTGCAGGCCATGGCAAACTACCTGGCGTTTCGCCCCGGCGGCGACCATCTGTTCACTTACGCTAATGGCCAGCCGCTTACAAGAAATGCAGTGTCCTCTGAACTGCGCAACCTGCTGCCACTCTGTGGGGTCGCGGACCTGAGTGCATATGCCAGTCACCCGGATTGGCGCCGCAACATCAGCGGCCATGGCAGGTGTCCCCGAACACATCATCCGCATC